TTTAAGAGGGAAAAGCGTGGGGTACCAAATAATGAAAATTTATGGACCAACATAATAATATTATGACTAAGGTTGGGCAATTTTGGTGGTAATAATGTTATAGTTAGTTTGAGTAGTATGTGAACGTAAGTAGTAGTGTTTTGAAATGTGCGCAAATAATGACATTTGACATAGGGACCATTTTGATCCAAGTGGTCTATTTTGTTGAACATTTGGGGAATTGAAGTCTTGAATTATTGGATGTATAAATTAGTGGAAAAATTATAATATAATAATTCTAGATCTTGGATACTCATGTTATCTTGAAATTTAATTGTTGTTTTTGTTGTAATTACTTCCTCTGTTTTTTTTACTTGACCCATTTCTTTTATCACGCTTGCCAATGCAAAACTTTAACGGTCAATAACTTTAATTCTACATAATTAAAAAATATAAAAGTTATATATTATGATAGTACTTATTGAGACGAATTCAAAATGATCCAACATGAATATGTTTTTCGTTACATATTTTCACAAAACACGGTCAAAAGAGGGATGGTGAATAGTGTAAAAGTCAAAGCGGATCAAGTAAAAAAGAACCGAGGAAGTATATGTTAAAATATTACCTGATGAATTGAAAGTAACACTACTTAAAATTCATCTGTTTTACAAAATTGTTCATAATTATTGTACCAATAAAACCAATTAGAAGTAGCGAAAATGTTTTAAAGGAAGGTTCAATTAAACTAATTACCAATTCAATGAAGGAGCTTCTTTCAAAAAAAAAAAAAAATCAATGAAGGAGCAAGTGAATAAGGAAATTAAAGTAAGCTAGAAAGAGGTTTATAGCTAGAACAAAGAGTCTATAATGTAATATAATACTAGTTAAGGCATATTAGGTCTCTATTGAACGCTTGGGTGTAAAATTACACATTGTAGAACGAGCAATGAAAAAGTGTAAAATTACACCATACATGCCATGTACGGCCTATAGGATAAAAATTGCAAACAAAGTAGTAACAAAATTAGGAAAAAACTAGTTCTGGTTCGTTTCTAAACAGATTCAATTCCTCTCGTTTACTTCCAAACGCAACTCCAACTGTAAGAAAAGAAAGTTAACAGTATTTCTTTTAAATTGTCACTTAAATTATCCTACATACATTAATAGGTATACGGGATATACCGGTAGCATCAATCATAAGCCGGTAAAAGAGTGCTATGCAGTTTAAGCCCTCGTTAATCATTGAATAAACCATGTCCTTACCGGCATCAGTCTCTGCCACGTGGAGAGCTGCTTCTCGGAACGAGGCATGTCCCTCTGGCACGTGGAGAGTTGCTTGGTGCCGCGTAGGCACCTGCTATTTACAAGGTCGGTGTGCCACCTATCTGTATAGGTGGCACCTGCTTGTTGTGTTTCTATAAATACCCAAGCAAATCCCCATATCAAAGGTAGAATCTCTCTCTCTCTCTAAAATACTTTCTCTCTCTTCTTTCACTTTATTCTCACAAAGGTACTGACTTTAGCATCGGAGTGGTTATTCCCGGAAAACCCCGGGCTAGCTAATCTTTATTGGCTGTGTAGGTGAGCAATTGGACGTAAACCATTACCAGCCCTCAGACATTAACGAAAGCAGAATTCAGCGGGAACAATAGGTACCATGTGATCACATTGTTACATGTCAAAAGTTATATTCATATAATTTTAAGCAATCCATCTTCTAATTATATAAGCATGCATGTATGGGCTAGCTTTTAACAAAAAAAAAGTTGAGGTCTTTTCATTCTACTATTAGATGGTTAAAGAATACATGCATGAATAGCCAAAGGCTGCCAAAAGAAGCATCATATCATCATCTACTCGATCTATTATAATAGCAAATCTTATAAAGTATTAACCATTAAAAACATGATATCTGTTTTTCGGCTACTTTTTTTTATCAACGCTTTCACATCATCTAAGGGGTATTAATAGAATTCTCCGCGCTCATTCTTAAATCGTTTAACTTGCTAATATAATTCAAACTGGTTTAATCCAAACGAGATTTCAGTTTATTGAGACATATTTCTTAGCCTTTAAAAAAAGATAAAGTTTCTAAGAGGGCAATAAAGTCCTCCAAATTAAGCGAATAATGCATTTTATAAGGAGAAAATAATAACTCAAGTGGAAAAACACAAAAGCCTTAGATTAAGGCCTTGAATTAGTGCTTGTAATCATTCCTAATTGAGCACTTGTGCTTAAGATCTCATCATGCCAATTATCATTACTTAGTCCATGCTTGAACAATAATGGGGATCATAATTCATAATGTACATAATCATATTCATTATATTCACCGGATCTCAAGTGATACTTCATAATCTCGAATGGCCGAATTCGTTCTCCCGGTCTCTTCTTTAACATACATATATCATTTACCTTTTGCTCGTGCATTATAATTCGATATGTTCGTGTCCTACGCGTACATGATCTACACTAATCCATCGAAAACTTGGTGATTAATTGTTAAATACAAATATAGTCATGTTAGAGAAACTTCGATGCCATTTTAAGTTAATTATTAACGACAATAAGCTAATTAAGAGATTAAAGATTATACGGAGTATATATGTACCGTACGTATTAGCGAAAATTTGGGCTTAATTTGCGTTTCTTCTCACCATCTATTAACCTTACCCGTAGGTCATGTTGACAAGAACTTTTAACTAAAAATATGGTATCACTATCAGATATTGATGGCCATATTTGTTACAATAACAATAATCATACTCATATGCAAGTACTATAAATGGACTGATTTAACCGTTTTAATGGATTTTATAATAGCATACTTTCTCCATTTCTTTATTGTTGTAACACACACAAAATCACAGTATTTAAGAAAAGTGTACCTTACATGATATAATACATTTAAAATAAGGTTAAAAGGCTATTATGAGTATAATTAAGTGTATCATGAGCTTTAACTAAAGAATAGTACAATTTTTATCATAAAATTAAACCATCCTTATATAATTGTTGCATTTATTTTGAAATTTTGATTTTAGGAAAATGTTGCGATTATAAAGAAAAGGAGGAAGTATATTATATTTACACTAGTACATATGTTATATGTTTCTAACTGATAGTGTTCAACAAATTAAACGTACCAATCATTTTTAATTTTAGTCAAGGGTACACAATACTTCCTACTACGGGGTAATGATACTCTGTAATTTATAATGTTTTTGAGTTTTGAAGTCACAAATTCGAATCCAGTCCAATCTATCCATCTCTATATGGTTGTCGGGTCTTTTAAAGAGTTGATTTGTGCGCATTTTAGAACTTTTTCTAAGATAAGATGGGTTTTACTAGACTAAAATCCCCCATGACTTGAACTCCATTAAGTTAGGCCATAGAGCATGTACAAAGTACAAGCAAAATCTTTATTACGAGAAATTATAGTAGATTTGTCAAGTCAACATCTACATATTTTCTCATGGCAAACGAGACTAGTACTAGTCTTTCGTAAGAATTGTCAACTTAAATAAGACAACAATTTATGTAGTAGGTGGCTAGTTTTGTACTTGACAATCATGTAAGAAATTTCCAAAGTCCTCAAACCTATGTTTAAAATCTCAAGTAAAGTAATGGATGATAGCTAACGTAGTTAAAGTCTTAGAAATTTGTATCCACCCATTACTTAGAATCAAATCTCATTTACATTACTTGTCCATAGAAAATGAGAATCAATTTGTAAATCGACAAGCTAAGATGTTGTAGACAAAATACGTACATGTGTACCTGCTCCAAGACACAAACAAGTCAATTTCTACAAGATATTCCTTCTCAAATCATGAAGTATCAATACTCGTTTCATCGAAATTGTTGCAATTGCTTGTTCTTGTTTTATAGTCCGCATTAGTTAATAGTTACCATTTGACAAGATAAGTTGCTAGTATAGACGAGACAAATATGTACGTACATCCTCCTCTTCAAATTGATGGGACAGTTAATTGAAAATTCAATAACATTTATCATTTATGGAGGAATAACACAGGCCTCAATAATGAAAGTTACCAACAACACAAGATCAGAAGGTATTTTTCTTGTTTCTTGCTATATGCCCTTAAAGAAGGGATTCTAAGTGCACCTCCCATTTATGTACTACATAGATGAGAGGCTAAGCGCATAAGATAGTTTTATCATTTATTAATTTATTTATTTTTAACGGTAAGGAGAAGGATCCAGATCAAACCTCAACTTTCACGGTTTTTTATTTTGTCCGATTTCATCAATATGGGTTGGGTACTTGGGTATAGTCACACAAAACTTGATATTAATTTTGGATACGTACACTATGCAATTGTGCATAACACGGTTATTGAAAACAGTAAAAAAATCAAGTGTAACAACTAATAGGGGATTATTACACACGACCTTTAGTACTGATAGGACATTTGAGTAGAGGCCGATGTCAATTACCTAAGATAATAATAGATGGACCGACAGATGAATTAACACTAAATTAAGTCTCTCTCTTTCCGTTTCAGTTGTCACCACAAACACGCGTAATTATGCCGTTATCGATTATATAATGTCAATCAGTATTTACCTTTACATTATTTTTCTTTTATTTATTTCATTATTACTCTGGACTTGCGATTCATAACTTGCATCCAAATGTTTTAAGTTAACCGTGATTAGCCAGGACTTAATTATGGCTTCTATGGTGTCAAAACAACATAACTGGCTCTCGGGTTCATTGAAAGGACAAGAGTTTCCTGGCTGACCTAATAAATTTCTCTACAGTGTAGTTATAGGATGTCAAAAATATAGTTGTCGTTTACTCGTTTGATTGAACAAAGGAAGTATTGTTTCCCACTTTTTCTAAAAAATTCCAACTTCATGTCCCTGGAATGTAAGATGTATGATCAATATAATAGGGGATCAAGTAATCAACCTATCAAATCGAAATCTTCATAGCCAGTATAGGTAAAGCTTCAGAGATTAGGAGTAAGCAAACTGAGAAGCCAAATAAATACTGCAAAACTGATAATTCAGATTTCTGCAAAGTTACTTCTTTTGGCCTAACAAGCAACTTTGGACATTTTGTATACTCCTATTTAATCAATTGCATCATTGCATGTGTGTATTAAGAATTAATTATCTGCTCAATTGAAAGTACAAATAAAATCACAAGTGTTTTGTACATATAAATTGGTAGAAGGAACATTACAAATTAAATGAGGCAAGAAAAACTTGACGTTGTGTCGAATTGCTCATCACTTGAACACGAAAAAGGGAGATGCTGCACAATTTATACAAAATTTTATTGGTGAGGTACATTGTCGTCCTGATTTTTTGCTTTACCTCGAAGCATGTCAGCAAAATTGCCCCTCATGATCCGCTTAAATCTCGTGTCTTCTGCCGCTGCTGAGGGTGGGGATGGCTGAGGGGGTTCACTTGGTTCCACCACAGAATCCAGAGCTTCTTTCTTGCCTAGCAACCCACCTTCACCAAATAGGTTGGTAACTGATGACGCAATTCCAAGATGAGCACCCATTGCCTTACTGATAGCATCAAAGGTCCCACCAGATCTTTCTTTCATTATGATCTCTAATGCCTCCTTGTGTGCTGGATCAAGTGAATCATGATCCTTGAGCATGTTTTGAATGGCAGGTAAAAGGAAGTCTCGGACACTAGCAGCAGAAAGATCTGAATAAAAGAAAAGGAGTTTTATCATCCTTTGATGATTGTTTAAACTATATCTAATTAAAAGTAAAAATAGATGGAATCGACTATTAGTAGCATGGACTTCTTAAATACTTCGTACAATACAAGGAACAATTTTAGGAAGATCAGACATCTGTTTCCAAAGCCAACCTAACTTATGGTCAATGAACTCTATCATAGGCCTCTAGCAAGTATGATCATTAGAAGGTTCTCACTCTCCTCAGAGTTAATGCTTAGAAATCTCAAGTGTTTACGAAATAAACATTGGTAAAGATGACACAATGTCAGTATTCAATGGAAAGAAAGCACAATAAAACTCAAAAATAAAACAAACCTGTAGCATCCAGAGCACGAATTGCCTCACAAAATGCATTTGCTCTTTCACGGCGACGCATGACATCACTTATAGGAACAGGAGATGCTGTAAACTGGAAAATCTTAGACAGAAGATGTATATCATGTCAAGGACACAAATTATAGAAACAAGTACCCAAACACTAAAGGCATGAAGTCAAATTCAGCTCTAATAAAAGGACATGCAAGTTGTAAAATGGTATTGAAGGATATAATCTCTAAGTTTATCTGTGGTATGTGGTACAGCAACCACTAATGCACGGACCACAGCAATCAGTGCTTCTTGAGATCCATCCTCCAAGAAAGCATCCATTTGAATGCATATTTTCTCAACAATCTGAACAGTTCAATTTGCAATTAGCTGGATTTACAAAAGGCAATTTGATTACAGAAGGAAAGCAGAAATAACAAAAATCAGATATACCATATCACTCTTAAAATGCTGAGCTACAGACCCAAATGCATCTATGCTGGAATACTTTACACTCAGGTTTTGATCAGAACCAAGTGTGACAAGGGCTGGAAGAAGATGAGTTGAGACTAATTTTGAATCAATATACGGAACCTATAGCAAACAAGAGTCAGTAACAGTTTCAGAACATGTCATTATCAGACAAGCCAAGAAGAGTGTGGCCTACCAAGACTCTCAGTAGGTTCGCAGCACTTATTTTCATATCAATGTTGGAGCTAACAACCATCTCCCATAAGATATTAAATATCATGCTATGGTGCTCTACAAATGTGCTGTGCCAGATGAAAAATACAGGTCAGAAAAATACAAGCATTACAAAAGCCAACTCTTAACCAACTTCAATGCTAACTACAAACCAGAGAAAGCGGACAGCATCAACTATTTCAGCATGGAGTCTGTGTGGCTCTTCTGAAGTATCTTGAACTAAAAGCTTTCTCAGATAACTTTCCAACTGTTCACGCTTGCTAGGAGCACCTAAAACGCCTGCCAATAGCAGTGGCATCACACACATGGTGGCAAGTCTCTCCATCACCGAGCTGTTTGGTTTCAAACCTGCAATAAAATGACAATATAAGCTCCTATTATGATGTGATGGCAATGCAGCTGCACATTGACAGTAGAAAGTAGACCAAGCTAGCAAAAAGACCTTCAATCTTTGGTAGAATGGAAGACGGGAAAAATGTCAAGTCAGCATTGTCACCAATTGATATCAAGAAAACAGGCAGCATTATGTGTGTCAGATAACAATCTCCGTATTGTTCAGATACAGCCAACAAAAACTGCAAAATCAAGTATTACGTCATGAACAATGCAAGAGAAGCTTTCTTGAACCTAGAAGCATCAAACGTATGTGCTAGAGACAAACCTTTGCAATCCGGGCTCTTAAATTATCTTCCTTCTGGGGTAGCAAACATACAAGCTGAATTAAATGGGGGAAGCATTCTATGTGCATCCACTCAAATGCAGACCATACCACTTGACCCCTGGCCAAGGATTCTTTCAGCACAAAAGATGTAATAAAAATAAGGTTCAAATTGATGCATAAGGAAAAAAGAGAAAATAATGTAAAGGAAGATCACCTGGCGTATAGTTGCAGCAAGGATTCAGAAAATAACATCCCTGCTGATTCAGAAGCAGCAGAAAATGGGCATGTCTCAATTGCTTTCTGTTTCACATATGGAAGCAATTCTGACAACATCCTTAATAGAACATCTATGTTCCAACGCTCACGTTCACCTAAGACATGTAGATGCGACTCAAGAGAACCTTCAACCCCTGAAAGGGGCGGGCAACGCTGAGTTTTTATAAAAAGTCATTAACCAAGCAAGAAAATCAGCATTGAACAGAAGCATAAAAAGTCATGCTGTAAGACCAGCACACCTGGGCAGAGTTTAAGATATGTGACAGCAAAACAATCAGCATGTGGTCCAGCTTGTTTCCCCATCTGACCAAAGTAGGTACTAACTCCTTAAGTGTAGCATCAACAACAACTCCAGCAGGATCACAGACTAACTGGAACATCAATTCCTCAACCTATCAAAACACAAAAGGAACCATTGGAGAGACATGTTTTGAATATACTTTTTTACTCATCATGTTACAACTAAGGGATGAGGCCTCTCTCCCTAGACCATGTTTCCTCAACCTGGCTCTAAATCTTACATTGTGGCCAATTCTGTCAAGTCACAATTCTTCTCCATGATGGCCTCGGAACATATGTAGTGAGGCTGACCTTGAAATATTTCTCTGTATTGGGAAAGTGTGGGAGCAGCAATGCCAGATTGTGTGCAGCAGCTTCGCGTACAACTGTTGCAGAATCCTCTACCAATTGTTGCACAATAGACAGGATCAGAGAATCACGGATCTCAGGTCGAACAAATCCTGCAAGCTCTCCGCATGATTGAGCAACAAGCAGCCTACGCTCCTCATTCTTGTGATTGATCTTCAAAATTTAATTTGGAAATGTTAACACATTGTGCATTTTCTGGGAACTTAATAGTAAATACATATATATAAAGTAGATTACCTGTTCCCAGCATTGAGGAAGCAATTCTGTCTCTGTTCTCATCTCACCAACATTCTTGGCAAGATTAACACAAGCCTGCAGAAAAGAAAGAAGATTTCAGTAAAATGAGAAAAAAAACTGCCTCATATTTAATTCTTCTTGCCTCGTATTTAATGCTACATACATCCATTATAATTTTTCTTTGTTGTTCATCTGGTCGTTTGATTAAATTAAATAGTGTATGTGTCAAAGAGTCCCGTGTGGTGCTTTCTGGATGGCGCTCGATTGCACACATCATCAAGGGGAGAAGCTCCTGTGGTAAAATAATATTACATGATTAGCAATCTACTTGCAATGTATATGCAAGCTGTATGATAAGAATTCAGAAGCAAACCTCTCGATGTTGTATAAGAACATATGGAGCAATCTTTGGGAGTGCATCAGCAAGAATCTGGACTGTCTCCAAATTCTGTGAGGCAAACAAAGGCATATATCGTTAGGATATATGCTACATCACAAAATCATACAAAATCTAACGGAATTAAGGAATTACAGATGGCAGGTTTTTAGCCTTGCATGCATAATAGATAAAGGAGCAGAAAACTTGCCATCTTTTCTAAAGCAGGTGATACACTTGTATTGTCTGGAAGTTTATCTCCACAAATGTCAGCATCTGTTTGGCTTCCACTTTCAGGGCTCATTGCCTCAGGTGAATTTTTCTGGACATCATTCGCTTGGCCATTTAACATTTCGGCAGTATTAGACTCTGCATCTTTACTTCTTAAAGCCTCAAATTCAGATGATCCATGGACTGGAACAGATGAAACTGATTCACCTTCAGGGACTTCAACAGCTATTACCTCTTTCTGCACAATCTCCTCAGGGATTGTCGAATCAAAAACGGCACTAGCTAAAGAGGTTTCTGCCTCTCCTGTGTCCATCAGCATGGAATTGGTTTCTTCTGTGGGGTTTTCAAGGGAATGTGGCTGAGAATGATCAGCATTACTCGTTGACTGAGTTTTACCAGATCGCCAACCTTCAATTTGCATTTTAAGATAAGTTATTTCCACTCTGCAGTCATTAAGTTCCTTTCTTTGATTCTCAGACAACTGCTTCATCTTTTGCACCTATTTGTAATATATAAGAGGTATAAACTTTCCGGATAGAAGAAGATAGCAATTTTAAGCACAAATAATAAAGATATTGGCAATACCAAAATATCCTTCTCTTTCAGTTCCTTCTGCAAGCTATCTATTGATCTTGTCAAAGCCGTTATTTGACCATCAGCTACTTCTTTGTTCCTCTGCAAGCAATCCTTCTCATGGCTTAGTCTCTCATTCTCCTTTAACAGTGACTCCTTTTCCCTTAGAATTGCAATTTTCTCCTGCAAGGCATTCATATCAGCTAACACCTTTACTAATATAGCCCAGTGAGAGAGCTTCATACAGGCATATGTTATCACTTGTAGAGCCAATATTAACTACAATAACCTTTGCCTATGTCCAGCTTACACTAAAATGTACTGAGTTCAGTCATAAGAAATATGGATGATTAGTTCTACCAAAAAATAAATAAATAAATAAATAATCTGAACAAATTTCGAATAGTATCTTAGACATACCTCTGCAGCCTCTTCAGTGGATGAAAGGTACTGATAATAATAATGACGCAAAGCATCCGGCACACATGCAGGTGAATTAGGCCAAGCATCCAGGTTTTGGTCGGTCACCTACAGGTCAATATCTGTATTATAATAGGCAAGTACTAACTTTCATACAACTAATACAATTACCCTACAATCAAGTCAAGCTAGAAACAAGAACAATTTTTTAATCTTATTTATGTTTCATTGGAGTGATTCGAGTGAGTGTATCTAACATAGAGAATTGACTTACAATTTTACCATTTTTCTGTTATTCCACTAAGCAGTGAGTGCCAAATTAAGCATGACTCAAGTGAACCAAATCATAATTGATCACTAAATTATGCCAAACATATCACAACCTAATTTTATACGTGAAACAATACATAAGTAACCAACACCAACAAGGATATCTGGCTCTATGCCACACCTCAAACAATAAACAAAAGGAAGATCAGGGACTGGGTACCAGCTTTGACACTGGTCCTGTAGAGTGCTATAGTTAAGCCCTTTAAAACTTTATCTTACACTTGCAAACTTGGTTTAGTTAAAACTTGAAAGCTCAATATCAAATCAAATCAGGAAATAATTTCTCAACTGAATTTCTTAAGGCTTTAGAAGAGAGACATATATGAGAACAGCCTCTTTTATCCAGAGAATCACCCAAAATATATCCCCATACAAAAAGAATTCAAATAAAATGATAAAAATAGACATAGAGCCCAAACAAGAAGAAAGGCAAGGAACTGAAAAACCAATAAGAAACATACACGGAACCTTAAAGTTTGCATTACCTCTTCATAGAATGTCATTGCAGTCAGACGATAACCTGCCATGAGCAAGTATTCCTTCACAGCACAATTAAGATCGTGTCTTTCATTATCCTTCACAGGACCCAAGTTTGACATTGTGGTGCCCTTCTTCTGTCTTATTATATCAAGAGGTGGGTCCAAAGAAACATTTCCATTTGTACCTGCAGACAAAAGAGTACAAAGCTCAGAAAATATTTATACACTTGTTTATGGCTTTTTTTTTAGGGGGGGGGGGGGAGGGGGGGTGTTATGGGCCATCACATCGCTTCACTGCTGTAGTATCAGAAAATTTACCATAACAAAAGCAGAAGAATATTAATAAACACTGAAAAATAAAGCACAGATTACAGCATAACATCAAATGACCAAGACCAGCTATGTTGCACAGACTCGGATTGGGTGTCGTGTGTCACACGGTGATGGATCCATGACACTCCAAATTTTATAAAGTTTAATATAAGGCTACTATGCATTTAGGTGTCGTGTCGAAGGGTCAGAGGATCCAACACGTGACACCTGACGTAAAGCAAGGTGTCAAAGTAACATAGAAGACCAGAAAAGGCAAAAACGTTATAGATCCTGCAGATTTAAGCTCTAGTATTGCTAGCCCTTTGCCCACAGCAGTACAGCACTGTCAGCATGCATATATGTAATAAACAACAAACTAATCATAGTATATCTGCTAGGTTTATTTGACCAATTGCACTAATCAATTACTAATTATTATCAGTATCCGGGTTAAAACATATTGGAAAACATCAAGCTATAATTTAATACATCCATACAGATTACATGAGCAACTGCACTTGATCAAATAGTAATTAATAGCTGAGTCAAATGTAAAGGGAGTGAATGGGAAACATATAAAAGCTCCAGATAAAGACTCTGAGTTGCAGGAGAAATTCTGAAACAGTATTGAACTTTTTAATAGATAATCACACTGGCTCGAGAAGTGATAAGTTGACACTCCAAAAGTCCAAATCTGTAAGTTCTCCTGTAACTTTTTCAATACTCTACTAGAAACACACAAACTTATAAAGTATATAGAATCCAACCTACTGTGAGACTTACTGTTGTTTTCAAGCGATGGAAGTTCTGCTTTCTTCTGCAATTCTTCCTTTAGTTTTGAAGTGTCTTCCTGAGCTAATCGAAGTTCATACTCACATAATGCCAATTTTTCATGTAGTGCTTGTTTCTCTTCCAACAAACTTTGAGGATCTGCAACTGCTTTCAGACAAACAAATAGAACAGTACTAAGGATAAGGCATATAGTAGTCCCAATAAAAGTTGAGAAATAACCTCCCGCCACCCCCCCCCCCCCCAAACTCAAAGACAAGCCACAAAACCCACAACAGACAAATCACATGTAGAAGCAAATTTCACGCATAATCAGCAATCCAGATACACAAAATAAAATCATGCAATAATATAACAGTCTTTAATGTCCGCAAGTCCGCAACATATGTAGAAATCATCATATGAGACATGGCACTAAAGTTGGACACGAAACTTTTTCAAGTTCAAAGATTATCATAGTATATAATAATCATAATTCACGCCCACCACCTAAAGATGTACTTAAGTTGGATAAACTCTTATAAGCCATACATCTATTACTATTAGACAGCAACCACCAGAATGCCCTATCAACTTTCAAACTTTTCACTGAGTTACAATAATAAAAAGATCATGGGCATTCAACCATTCTCTTGAAGAAGTATGGAAAGTACAACTTAAAAGAATATTTGAAGAAGAGAAGCAAATTGTACAAAAAATGATAACCGAATAAAATTTGATCCATTGAATGCTCCACCACTGTGGTATTACAAGAAATTATGGCAATCTAAGGTTCAGGATGCAAATTTCAGGAGATAGGCTTGCTTCATTTCCCTGCTTTAGCGTCGGCATTTCAGTCAGGCTGTGCCACACAGCCCACACCCTTCTTCCCTTTGTAGACAAAAAAATCGCTAAAAATTGCTAGTAGTTGAAAAGCCTCCTTGTGTTGAGTGTGGGCTGCATGCCTACACTTGTGTGTGCGCGTCATGATAACCTCTTGTTTTTTAGTTTTCTACACTTCCCTTTTGATCATATGGGGTCTAACAATCTCATAAAGCAACTGCAAAATCATTCACAGGATAACTCATGTAATGTATCTATGTTATACTCTTTAGTTAAACCTATAGGGTTGCAACTAAAAAATTCCTCTGGCCTCCTAGTGTTGGGCACTTGAGTGTGGGCTGCATGCCTACAATTCTGTGTACGTGCCATGATAATCTCTTTTTTTACAGCCTTTTGCACTCCCCATTTGATCATATAGGGTCTAACAGTAGTCTTGTAAAGCAACTGCAAAATCATCCACTAGATAACTCGAGTGAGTAATTTATGCTCTTTGATTAAAGCTACAGGGTTGCGACTGACAAGAATAGCTGGCTAGGAAACAGTAAGAAAGTATAATTACCACATTTTAAAACTGTGACCAGATCCGTAGTGGTAAAGATTTCGTTTTACCCTTTCATTTCCTTACTTTCATCTACAATAATTTTACACCTAACAAATCAATGGTTTTTCTGAATTTACATGTACCACGAAGCTCATTTCATATCATACAATTCATCCCTGAACCAAAGACCCACAAACTAGGCTATAAGTCTCTATCATTGTCCCTGAATCTTAGGTTCGGTATTAATAGATTTAATACTTGACCCTTTAGCATCAAAGCCAACTTTTCTAGATGCCTACTCCCCATCTTTCAACGTTCATACATGGCATGTGGTTTAGCCATTCGTTTTTGGAAGTATATAGCCCTAAGTTTAAGCTAGCTTAAACTTGACTTTGAGGCTATCTCTATTTTCCTTGAATCTAAGATTTCATCATATCACCCCTCCCATTCACAAAGAAACATTTTTTTTTTTTGCAAGTAGCCTCATATCACCAATTCCAAAATACTACATTTTCCGTCATTTGATTTCATGCCAAATTTCTCTAAACACTAACAATTAAGAATTCGCCATACATTCACCAAAACATCCTTTATATTCCGCAATAGTTATGCCCTTCCATCCTCACCCTACTAATCATTTCAAGAGGGAGTCAGAGTATGTTTGAACAACCAACCATTTCATTAACAGGTAATGCAATGTTTTTCCCGAACATCCCAAAATAGTACACAAGTCTATAATTTGAAAATAGATCGAATCAATGAACTACATTTTATGTCGAGAGCTTTCCACTCCAACCTAAACTAATTCAAGTTAAACATTATAAATACTCACTTATGGTATGAACTATATAGCCATAAAATCAAGCTTGCATGTGAAACTACTAGAATATTTTCTCTTTAATGTAACATTTCAATTCTATCAATCAAAAAAAGAAATCTTCAACAAAATCATGAAATGTCAGAAGAAAAATCCTTGCCAAATTCAACTACAGTATAAACCTTTCGATTTGTTCCAGTAAGTTCCAACAAAATTCGCCTGACATACAGATATTGACCTACAAAACTACATTCGAATTCATTCACATTACCACCATTTATAATCGCCTACCAAACAGGCCGTAATCAGATCTTTCTAATCAATCAATTTCAATTACAAATCAAAATAAAATCAGAATCAAGGAAACAAAAAGACAAACCTCGAAGAGAATTGAAGCGAGAGATTTGATCAGGAGGAAAAAGAGAAGGATCAGCGAAATACTCCTTGAGACGAATAGCTTGAGCATCTCTACCATCATCAAGAAGCTCATGAAGTAGCTCGAAAGCAGTCAGTAAGTAGTTCTCTTCCAATAGAAAGTTCACCACACAATTACACAGCGATGATCTCTCCACATCCATTGTCTTCTTTCTCTCTCCTCGATTTCTACTGTTTTATCAATCAGAATCCGCCATTGATGCTTTCGATCGAAGCTTCATTCGATAGAAATCGATCTGAGAATTGTAATTTTTTTGGTTGGGATAAAATTGCCAAATTGGTGCAGATGGATTTGATGATCTGGTTACAAAAATGAAACGTGACGCTGTCGGTATTACTCTTTTACGGATTTACCTATGCGGTTGTCTCATTTTTTTTATTTTTTTTTACACGGAGTGTTATAAAATAATATTCGTAGTTAAGCTTAGAAAAACTTGGCAATTCTGACTCGACCTATGACCCAAAATCATTGACTCGAAAATTACTCGAACTTAAACTAACTCAATTCAAATCCGACCTGAATTGGAGCTAATCCGAATATGACCTGATGCCCGAACTTGACCTAAAACTCAAACTTGACCTGACCCGAAACCGAAAGTGACCTAACCCAATTTAAACCCGAATTGATTGGCCCGAATCGACCCAATCCAAAGTAATCCAACCCGAATTGACCTGACCTGAAGTGACTGGATTCCTGAAATGAATAGGTTAACATGTAATTATATAAATATGAGTGGTGGAAATATGTTGCATTAAAGAAAAATATATTTCGTTTAAATGAGTGCTTTATCCAACTTTAAAATTATATTTGACATATTTGAACTTTTTTCTCCTTTAAATTACTCTGTACCTTATTTGAGATTATACTCCGCAGTTTGAAAAAATAAATAGAAATGGTGGACAATCTCTCACTTTTGAAGCATATAAAATGATAAAGCTTTACGCCTTTACCGCAGTCAAGACTCACGAGAGTTGAGCACTAAGTAGAGATTAAAAGCTGTTTGGCTTTTTAATTTTTTCATCCAAAATCTTTAAAAGCTTGAGAAAGAAAGCACAAGCAAAATGCATGTCCCACTGGATAGATAGATGGCAGCAACACTATTGAGGACTTGTAACAATAACAACCAAACATTATTTTCTTCTAATCTTAGTTTCTTAAACTTGGGTTGTGGCCTTCCTCTAGAGCACAAATTACTGAAAAAATGAATCAAAAATATGAGATTCTGTAGAAAATACAGGAATTTTTATATATACCGCGAATCTCAGCAAGAAAGGAGAGATTTTTCGAGTGTTTGGTTGAGATGGATGGGAGCAAATTGGGAAATGGGAGGACAATTGGGTCAGTAAAAGCAGCCATTAACAAATATGGTGGAGGGAAGATTAATCAAGTTACTAATACATATAAGAAGTCTCTGAATAATGCTTCAAACTCTGAGGTAAATAGAGTATATTCTCCATTATCTGTTACTAGATTACTACTACGAGTATATATATTTGATTATTTGTGCTAATGATTGGTTTGAACTTTGCAGATAAGTTCTTCAAAGGCTCAAGAACTTCATGTTGCAAAGAATAGGATCAACCAAATCAATGAAAACAGGATAATAGCAGAGTCAGAGATAAACCAGGCTGAGTTTGAAATTCTGAAGGCGAAAAAGTTAGTTAGGGAGCTCACATCACAGATACAAGAGTCGGAGTTAAGGGCTAAGGAGTTTCAGAAGGGAAAGAGAGTTGAGGAATTACCTGGCCAAGAGGAAAATGATCAGTATGAAGAAGTCGTGAGAGAGGTTGAAGCAGTTAAAAGAGAGATCAGTAAAATTAAACTTGAGATAGAACGCGCAGTTGAAGAGAAATTCAGGGCAGAAAAAGAAGCAGATGCTGCTGGTTTAAGACTCGAGTTTTATACGAGTGCTGCTGATAAATTAAGGAAAGAGATTGAAGAGGCTAAAGAAGAGGAGGTATTGGTTGAGCTAGCTCAAATCCAGGCACAGAAAGAACTTGCAGAGATTGAAGCTCAGAAGAAAAAAGAAGAGGAAAGATATTCAAATCTGATGGCTGAAACTAGAAAAAAGATCGGTGCATTGAGGGATGAAATTGAGACAATGAAATATCTTGAAGATATACTAGAACTTACAAATTCAGAGGTTGATGTATTGCAGAATGAGCTGAATTTGATTAAGGAAATGGACAGTAAATATCAGAGAAGAGTAAGTTTAAACGACTTTGCTTTGAAGACAGTCACAGAAGATCTGCAGGCAGCGAGGAAAGAATTGGAGACTATCCAAGCAGAAGGGTTTCAGCTTATGGGTAGTATGGATATAATAAGAATCGAGCTGATAAACATGACTAAGGAGAAGGGTGAACTTGAAAAAAAGGAAGCAGAAACCGAAAAATTAATAAAGAAGATGAACTCAAAACTTCTAAGGGCCAAAGATACATTAGAAGTTGCCAGAGCATCTGAGGAAAAGGCGAAGTCAATGTTACCATCTCTCTCCCTTGCTTTAGAGAACTTAAAAAGAGATAAGGAGGCCGTGAAGAAAGAGGAGGAGAAATTGAAAGAGGAGACAGGCTGCATCAGGGCTGAGATTCAGAAAATTGAGTCTGAAAATGATTTGAAGGAAGAGAAACTACAGACTGTAGTTAAAGAGCTAGAAGAAGTCAAAATTTCAGAAGCAAATGCTCTTGAGAAATTGCAAACCCTTGTAGAAAATACAGTGAAAGCAAGGGCTTCCCAGACAAATTCTACCATCACAATATCGAAATTTGAGTACGAATATTTAACAGGATGTGCAGCTGGAGCTCGAGAGACTGCTGACAAGAAAGTGGCAGCTGCTCTTGCATGGGCAGAAGCATTAAAGGCCAGTGAGAGAGAGATTAAGATAGAAACTGCTTTGGTAGAGAGGGAGATTGAAGAGCTGAAGCTAGAGGAAGAGCAGGAAGTCAAGAGGATGGAAGAATTAGAAAGCACGGAGGATTCAGAAACAGAGCAGCAGCAAAGAGAGATAAATCATAGCAGCAAGAGCCTCCAGGGGAGGAGATCAATAAAAGATCATGATTATAGCTCAACCCCAGTAAGACAAGCCAAGTTGCGAAGATCTGGCTCTCCGGCCACAAGACGTATAAGCACTTCAACCTCTTTATCTATGAAAAGAAGGAGAAAAGTAATGCTCAAAATTGCAAAATATTTTGCTAATGAGCAGATTGAAGATGAAAACTCAGCCCCCTTGAAGGCAGACACAGACAATTAATCACCATTGGGTATTCATTTAATAAAATTACATTCAAGCATTGTTGTACATACAAACCAGGTTCTTTGGAGTATTTATTTTGGGAGATTTTATAATCAGTACATAGAGTTTATTAGATTAGATTAGTAGGATATGACAAGTATGCATGTAAAGATTCGACGACTAATTCTCAAATTTTGATTCCACATGAAATTTCACTAATATGATTATGCAGCTTCCTGTGTCTTCAAGTACGGACCAAGGACACAACCAGATTCCTAGATAAAATATTGACGATAGATACAAAAGATTAAAAGAATCAATTAATCATTTTTTATACTTCAATAACACATCCAAGATAACAGCAATTACTTATACATTACTTTACCAAAATGTTACATAATCAGGATCACAATGCTTACAGCAAAAGCATCTTTTCTTTAATTAAACTTTTTTTTTAAAAAAAAAAAAAAAGGTCAAAAAAATGTATACTAAACAAACATGTATTAGAGTAACAAGACGATATACTGCAATACAAAAAGAAAACTGGTGCAGGCAAAGCAGGGAAAATGAAATTACAGTGTTGAACTCTATGTATCTTACTCAAAACTGTTTTTCGAAGCAGCAGTTTTCTGTTGCTCAGAATCCTCAATGTTTAGTACTCTCCAACTGTAACTGAGTGAAACTTTCTGGAAGCATTGCTGTTGCAGCACTTTGTGCCATTTGAAGCTGAGAAGGTAATATAAGACCAGAAGGTTGAGTTTTATATATCTGGGCATGCATAGGATCTTCAAATTCACTGATATAGTTGGCTTTTTCAATGGGAGGAACAGTAACAGGCTGAGCTGGTTGATGCACTGCAGGCAAAGTCACAGGCTGGGTTGCCATAGCAGCTGGCATGTATACTTCAGCAGCAAATTCAGACACTGGAGTAGCAGGTTTATTGTAACCTTCATAAATTATCGGGGGTGAAACCACAACAGGATTTGAAGGCACATGGGGTTGACTCCTAGCAACATTTGGTGCAGTTGTCATAGTACGAGGCATAGACGCATCATACATATTTTGTGTTTGTCCCATAGGCATCATGTAGACTGGGTATGGCTTATTTAGCTGATATTGGACGGGTTGATGTGGTTGGACATAAGTTGGATACATTGGAGGATAAGATGCAACAGGTATAGAATTTGGGTAATATTGGGGAGCATAATTGGACTGAGGAGTGGCGTAGTGAATGTAATGTGGCGTTGCTGTTGCTAGTGATGGTGGCTGAGGTGGGGACTGGTGCTGAGGTTTATCCATTGGTTTAGATACCATGTAACCAGAAACCTGAACGGAAGTCAGAATATCACTCCGAGGTGAACGATCAGAAGCATTGCTTTCAGTCTCAACAGGGTTCACAGAAGCAAGATTAGAGTCAAAAAATCCTGATGCGTCTTGATACACAATTCCTTGCTGGCTGAAGTTTGGGCTGGGAATGCTGCAATCACTGTAAAATACAACAATCCATGAAACTACCAAGGTTAACTACTAAGGAATCTGGATAAACAATAGGTGAATACTAAAACAAAGCGCTCCAAGACATGATCCATCAATGCATTAAGCCACAATAAGACATTTGTTTCAGAAAAGACATATTATAAATGCGGAGTTCAGGCTGTAAAGAGGAGACATCATACAGCTACCAAAGAAGTAAGTGTAGGACCAAGGATCGTTTACAGAGTAGTCTTAAGATCCAAGATTTTACTTTCATCTAACTTCTTGTCTAATAGGACTACTAGAAACTAAATGTACATGCAAACACCCCCACCCAATATACATAAGAAAATGATCCACTCCCTAGATAGTCAGCAAATTTTAACGTAGAAATATATTACAGTAGATAATAAAGCCTAACGTTAACTTTACTGAAAGACAATGAACCCAAGGCACACTTGCTGGTGGTCAACAGGCTTAGCTAAAGATAACACAGAAAGCAAAGGAATCTACATAATTTACTCTGAGATCTGGTCATCAAAGGATCACTGCATAGGGAGAGAATTATGGCATTATTACTGACAACTTATTTATAAACATGTGCAAATTAATTTGGACTAGCATCTTGTAAGTAAATTTCAAGACCAACCACCAAGCATGTATGACTGTACATCCTAAACATAAAGACACCCATTGAAAATTGTTGGAGCTTTTCAGAATATTGCATAAAGTCTAGAGCATTTGGCATGGAAAATGAAGATCATAGATCCCAGTAATGATATTGTACTTTGTACTTCATATTAATTATCACATCTCCGCTACCTTTCCTTAGCAATTCTAAGCATCAAACATGGAACAACACAGGATTCCCAATTACTAAAGTAATCACAACTTAAAAATATCAAACTCGTATTACCTTAGCTACACCTCCTTTCATACTTGCCAACCGCCAATGCAAATTATCACCATACATGGAGAGGTTTTGCCTAGGTCATATAGCGTAACTGCTGGACAATCAACACATGTGACCCTTATATGAAACCTAAATAGTAAATTAGTAACTAACTAACTACCCCATATATATTTGCACAGTATTCATCACCCAATTCTTTACATCCTACAATCATCACAACAGCCACCACCACCACCATTGTCATACCTCGGTCATTCCACAAGTCCCATGAAAGTCTTAGCTCTAACCAATCCACATCTGAACAGATACTGGTTTCGTTGTTTCAGGAAAACCACCTTAATAACCTCACCTATTGCAAATTAACCCATTACAAAAACACAATACCAATTCCGTACAACGTACCAACCACTCGAAAAACCGAAATCCACCTATGGATCCAATAAAAACAATATTCCGCTGCAACCTAACTAGATATTTACAAAGACAATTAACTACTTCTCATTGACAACCCAATATATGCTTTTTAAAAAAAAAAATTGACATTTTGTCTTTCCTCTTGAAAGAATAAATTCACCATCCAATCCATACCAAACATGGCAAAAGGCCTAAACCTCATTAAACTTGAATATGATAATTTCAGGCACATAATATGATAGCTATGTTTGATTTCTTTCATTTCTCAATTAAATCAAATAAATTACAGGAAAACATCAAAACTAAAATATCATACTTCAATCCTTTGTAAACTCAAACAATTTCCGAACTTTTGAACAACTATTTCTACAAAAAAATTATCCTACAAATCAACCAAACAAAACCCACAAATTTCATCCTCTATCGTCAATTACTCAAAGTTCATCCACAAAAAAAAATGATAATAATAATTTTTTTAAAAAAAAAAAACCACAATAGTAAATTAAAAATATAAATTCAAAATTCAAAAAAATAGTAAACTAAATTACCTTCCCAAAGAATCAACAGAGGGCAAAACAACCTTAAAATCATCCGCAACACCCACTTTATTATTCTTTCCGGGAGAATTCGAAGACGAACTATTTGACCCAAACGACGAACTATTCTCTAGAACAATCGATTCCGGCGCCGACGACGAAGAATCATTATTATTATTATTATTACAATTGGTGTTGCTATTATTATTATTGTTATAATTGACAGGATTCGAACTCGCGACCTTTAGCGCATCAGAAAACCAATCATCATCACATTTAAAATCACGAACAGGTTCCTCTTTCTTAAAGAGAAAGAATCTGATACGCGAACCAGAACCAGAGCACAAAAGTCGATCATACTCATCAACCATATTGAAGAGATCTTCATCAGAGGAGATAGAAATGAGGGAGTCAAGGTCATGGTTAGGGAGCTGGTATTTGAGGAGAAAATTGAGGGACCCATTGAAGAAGGATTTAGCGATGTGAGAGAAAAGGGAGGAGAGAGAAAGTGATGAATTTCGAGGGATAGAGATAATGCGGGTTTCACCGCCGGCGTAGAAAAGGGTTTTGTCGTGAGGACGAGGGAGGATGTGGCCGTTGAAGCTGAGCATAAGCCGGAGTTTTTGGGCGGAGGTTTTGGAATCTTTCTTAGCGCCGCCGACGACGACGGTGGGAGATGTCGTCGCCGGCGGTGTCGACGGTGAGAGATCCATGGGAGTGGATCTGAGGAGGAGGGAAGAGAGAGAGAAGGAGGAGGAGAGAGAAAAGTTGGAGGGTGGTTTTTGTGGGTTTGTTGTTTATAGCGCGGGTATGTTTAATAGACAAAATTATGTGTAATTTCTCTCGTTTTGCGGCTTTGTTCCCCTTTTAGTGGGGTTTTTCATTTTTAGAGCAGGGGTAATTAGGTGGACTAAATGAACTATTCTTTTGAATTAACGGGAATTAAATATGGTGGATATTATATCCGTAATCTAATTGTTGCACATAACCGGTAACGGAGGTAGTAAATATATTTTATTTTGGACGCTTCAAAATATTGTGCTTGTCTTTAAAAATATCACATAATTATATCATAATTCAAGCAATCTTTTACCTTTTTCATACAAAATACTTATATATTTAAAAAAAATCATTACTTACTTTTTTATTTTTCCTGTCGAACATTCTTTACTTTTTATTATTCTCGTAAAATATTCTCTATATTTTATTCCGTATTTTTCTCATACAATATATCTTCACTCCCTTCATTTTTTTTCTTAATTTTCGTGTTTTTTGAGAAATAGGAACGTAAATATGGGACGAGATGAGTATATTATTATATTGTCGATGCTAACAATTTTGTTTAATGTTAAAATGTCAAAATTATTAAGTACTTTGTTATCGTATTGAATCATTAATGTTCAAACTCACCTCAGAGTTTGTTAGAAAAGAAGAAGAGAGAGAGAGAATTTTAGAGAGTTTGTTATTTCGTAGTCTGAGAAATTGTTACAAAAATAACTATTAAGTAAATTTTAAGTATATATCCACTACTACATTTTTGATCAAATGCCACGGCCTAATAAAGGCTAATGCAACGGTATTTTAATTGTCGTTGCAATAGAGTAGGCTAATACGTCGGATTCAGTATTAATGTTGTGAGAAGTAGAGCTATTACCACAGCTCTAATGAACTGTTGCATCAGCCTAGATATTTCAACAAAAAGGAAAGCTATTGCAACGGTTTGTGATTATAGTAATGGAAACAGTAGGAGGCGCGCTGAAAATTTCATCTTACCTCTACTTTTTTGCCCAAATATTTTGAACCCTTGTCACTATTCCATGGGCAAAAAATAAGGAACCCTTACACTATTTTCTCTCTACTGTACTACTTTCCCCATTTTTTTTCATTCTTCGAATTCTCCATTTCCCCCATTTCTCCATTTCCCCCAATCCTCCATTTCCCCCAATTCTATTAAGCTATTTTAATTAGCAATTCCAAAAACTTTAAATTCTCAATTTTCCCCAAATCTCCGATTTTAAGGCCATAAAATACTCAAAAATTACTTACAATTTCTTGAAAATTCTGAGAGGAAAACTTAGTGAAGTAGAGGAAGGCGGAACTCAAGAGGTGGCGTAATTCAAGTGACGTTTGGTTGCTCAAGAGGCGGCGTAATTCAAGTGGAGAAGTTCCATTTTCGTCTTGCATGTCCCTGTGGCTGATATCTCGACTTTGAGTTCAAGGTATACAACGATTCTTCATTTCAGAAATTTCTTAATTGAAATTTTTGTTGTTGCGTTTTGATAAAATAAATATTAAATTTTTATTGATGTCTTTGGGAATTTGTATTTGAGGCCGTGGAATATGGAATTTTCTTTATCTTTGAGTTTGAATTTCAGGTTTATTTTTTCTCAAATTTTACTGTGAAAATGCTATACATTTTTGGGGTATGTTTGATTGAATTTGTAGTTGTTTTTGCTCGAATTATATGGGGAAAAAATGTTGTGATTTTCTGGTGTATATTGTGCTCGAAATTTGGGGTGTGCTGCTTGATTTTGATAAATTAAATTTTTAATTTTTAATTCACAAATAGATGCAATTCTATGTAAGCAAGAATAGAGTTAACTAATTTAAGAGTTCAGAACAATTACCCATGTTTTCCATTAGTTTGGGCATCACGAAAACAACTAACAACATGAAGCCAACCATAAGACCAATTGTGTGAGATTCACTGTTGATCCACTGTTGGATAGAATGATACTCCGTGATAAACAAGACTAATTCATGGCTTACCTCATAGAGTCATAATAGTATTCCTCTCTTAAGGGCTCCAAAGCCAACTCAGACAACCCTCTTCTGGTTTCCGTTAATGCAGCCTGGACTTTTTCAGGGTTTCCAGCACTAACATCAACACGAACCTACACAAATAACATGAAAAAAATTACTTCATCTATGATCAATAATGACCAATAACTTTCAACATTTGATAAATAGGATGCCATGTAGCTACTCCTATATCCAATTCTTATAGCATAATTTATCTTGAAACAACCATTGACTCGATTTATGTACTTCAATTCCACTTTCTGATCTGAACTGAGTCCTTTGTATTAGTTTACATATGTTTCTGATCTTGAAAATATTATGGGCTTAATATCCTACATTTTATGCATTTTTAGTTTACTTCATCTATGATCTGAATTAGATATTCTGATTTCAAAATAAAGCCACTAATTTTTTATTATTGAGGATACAAATCTGTCTAATATATATTGCTGAATAATGAAAGGTATCAATTTCTTTTGGAATTTTGAATTGATCATGTACATGAAGGATTCGTAGGTACTTTGTTTGTTGCTGTTTTGATAATGAAAGCTTTCTGTCAGTTGCTGGTTAAGGTTTCTGTCAGTTTCTGATAATGAAAGGTTTCTGTCAGTTTCTAATAATGAAAGGTTTCTGTCAGTGACTCTCTTAACTCTTAGTGAATTGATTAAATGTTTTTATTGTAAAAAATTAAGTAAAATAACCCTCTTTATTCTTACCCTAAGGTATGGATAGTGGAACTAAAGAGTGGTGGATGTTTGCCAAATGGAGTGATGAATATGAACGGGGAATTCTTAGAAAATATGCAAGCTCAATTAGTACAACAACTTGCACCAAGCGTAACAACTGCAATTTTGACTCAACTTCAGGATGCTAACCCCGGGATTAATCTTGTCATTCCTGATTTTTCGATTCCATTGGCTCCAAAGGATTCATGTAGTGCGCCACATCTTCTCGTTGACCAAAATAGGCAATCTTCTAAATCTGGGGCTACAATTAATCAGGTAACATAAATTATTTTCTGTTGCTTCTGTCTAAATTTAGTTTATGCTATTGACCTCATTCTGCCGTAGCTACTACTGAAATATTGTTGTTGTTCATGTATTTTTCTGATGCACACTAACTTTTGCTTTATTCCTTTATTGCTTTTGGTTGGTTTTGTCTGCCTTACGTTTTCCCCCTTTTTTCACTTATATGGTTGTACACTTTACTGCTGAAATATGGTTGTTGTTCATGTATGTTTCTGTCTAAATATTGTTGTTGTTCATGTATGTTTCTGTTTCTGTTGCTGATTTTTTTTTTTTTTTTTACAACTAGAAAAGGAAGGTTAATCCCTAAACTTAGTGAATCTAAGAGAAATATAGAATGAAAATAGGGTACAATGTCATCAATTTTCTTTTTTATCATCCTATCCCCTAGCATACTAATATGATCACTTTGCACCCACTTGAGAAGTCTCCTGTCTGCAACCTCTTATTATTCCAATATTCATAAAAATTCTCATAATTCAACATTGTTCTGTGAAACATCACAAATACCTCCCTAGCCAACATGACTCAACAATGGAAATAACCCAAAGTTAAGTAGTGATCACATAAAAGCTGCAGTCTTTGAGCTTCTTCTAGGCCTCTGAGAATCACACTCAGAATTTCAGCTTCACAGTTCAGTTGTTGCTGCTGATTTTCCCCTAGTTTAAAAGTGACACCATCAGAATTCAGGAGCCATTCCCATTTTCTTTTCTTCCCATTCCTTCGATTGTGAGAAATACCTAATGTGATAGTGCTGCAAACCCCAGCTCCTATAACCAATTGTATTATGTCTATGCGTTGACAACATTGCATATATCTAAATTAAAGGCCTGCTGATTGTCCTGTTCTTGCTCAAACCCCGGAGGACCTTCTGCAAAAACCTCAGATTTTGAGTTATGCAAAAACCTCAGATTTTGCTGATTTTGAGTTATGAAAGCTCATTATTCTTTCTAAAGAAATGATAATACCAAGAAAATTAAAACAGAGGATTTTTGCATAGTTTCCGGACAGAAATTGTCCATTTTTGAACCCAATGGTGGGTCTGTGCTCTTGATTCATTACACCACTTTCTTATAATAATATGTCAAAAGCTATAGTTGTATTATTTTTATTGTTGTGCTTTATGAATACTACAATTTGGTTGTGCTTTATGAGTTTCCTTAATTCGGTTCTATTATCTAGTTAAATTATTTAGTCACATTATTTTTCAATTGTTTAGTTCTATTATTTTATTCTTTTTTACGTGTAGGTGCATGGTGAGCAAAATGGAGATGAAGTATAGTGACTACATGACTAGCTAGTCATCTAACAAATGGTGCAAATATTTTGGCGACTCCTATCTATTAGTTCAAGTTGTCAAAAAACCGGCTTATATATATGTTGGAATTTGTATTTTGGACGATTAAATTAATTATATAACTTTAGTTTATTAGTAGGGTGTCATACCGAAAACAAGTAAGTAATATTTTGTAATGTACGTATTTAGCATTATAATTATTGTATATAAATTTAATGAATTTTTGTTTCTCTTAGCTTGTTAGTATATTTAGATTTGTAGTGACTAATATATATAATTAGTGATTTAATTTACAACTCATTTAACTAACTCATATAATATTATTTTACTGTTCCATTAAAAAAAATATAAAAATAAAATAATAATAATAATAATAATAATGCCGTTGCAATAGATACACTCTCCATATATCGTTGTATACAACAACCGTTGCATTAGGTGCCAATTTCATCATAATTATTAGTCGGTAATCTATTGCCACGGATAATTTATGTCGTTGCATTAGATATTGAGCTAATGCAACGGAACATAGATACCGTGGCATTAGGTGTCATATACCGTGGCATTAGACCTACTGCAACGCCAGCAGATGCCACGGTACATGGCCGTTGCAATAGGCCTAATGCCACGGATTTTGACACCTAATGCAACAGAATTAGGGGTTGCAACAGGTCAAAAATGTAGTAGTGATCTATGGGCTCAACTATTAAAGATATAAATAATTTGGACCATTAAATAATTATTAAAGATATAAATAATTTTACAAGCTATTACAACCAAACAGAAAATAGATATTAAGTATATATCTATGGGCTCAACTATTAAAGATATAAATAATTTGGACCATTGTAACTTAGTTGTAATTAGATTAAATATTTGTAGAATTCAATTAAATATTGTAGGATTCGTGTAAGGAAATTGGACGTTGATAACCACTCAACCCTCCTAACCAATTCCAACAAAGCTTGGCTTGAGGTGGGATAGATATGGTAGGACCTAAAAGGTGAGACAATTTATTGATTTTGAGTTGTGTTGTGTCAGGCTATTTAAAATTTTAAATTAAAGTCATTTAAGATAAAAACTATTGATCTTATTGATTTCTTAAGAAGGAATTTTTATATTAATAGTTTCACACTTATAATTAAGTCTTATTAAACACTTGATTATAAATTATTGTTGTTAATCTATATGATTGAGGAGATAGTTCATTTTGTTGTTATTGTTGATACTATTTTTATAAGTCAAACCTTATTCATTGTACAGAAAATAAATCTACTAATATATAAAATATAACGATTATATATTCATAAAGTGACAAATCGTCTTTAAAATGATAAAGAAAGCGACAATTGTTTTGATCTAATCCCCTCACGTATAAGTTTTGGGTGACAACCAATAATGAAAAATGGATCGAAATTAGGATAGGGAATTAAAAAGCAAGTGTTTGGATTTAGGAAGGTGTAAAAACAGCTTTAGAAGGGTGAGCTAATTATATATCCACATGGAATACAGCACACACTTGCACTCATGCATGATATATGGCCGCATGGGGAATGGTCCATTGTTCTGCATCCAAATATCATAGCCACCTCTACCACTTCAACTACAACTATATAAATTATACTCCGTATACTATTACATTCTTTCTCTCACTTTTTTTTTTTTTCTTTTTCCCATAAATTTAGTCAGTTTAACACCGCAGATCAACACTTGAGAGTAGAGAGGAGAGAAAAGGAAATCCTCCTACTCTCAAACATTTTGTAGTTAGTAGGGCTCGAACTTTAAATTCTCAATAAGTGTATAGCTTGGTAACTATAACTCTATATGCGTATAATCCAATATATTTAGTACATTTTATAATTTATGTTCTTTAGTTGTATGATATAGAGTATATATCACCAATTAATATTACTACGTAATATAAGTGCAACTAGTGTGGCTATTTGCAGAGTTGATATTTACTTGTATTTTATACATGGTTGTCTTGTAACATTAGAGTTAACATTATACAAGTAAAAAATTTCAATAATTAATTGCAATAATTAAAATAAATAAAATAAATAAATAAATAAATAATTGATAAGGTGATGCATCAGCACGAATCATGTCTTTCAAGATCAAAAAACTAATTGTATAGCATTGGATTGATGCATGAGAACGACATGAGCTAGTTGCATTACTCTCTTTTATAAAATTAACTAGATGAAACTCGTGCGATGCACGGTTTGTTTGATTTTTTTTAAATAATGTTTTTTTTTTGTATTTATGAGCCTAAAATTTGTTATATATTTAGATAAAATTACTAATATTAAAAGATAATATATAATATTTAATTAATTTAAACTTAAAAATCTCATTCGTCAATTTTGCTTACATGACATTTAAATTATTTAATTCTAAAAGAAATTAATAATCTATTATTTAATTGGCTACTACTAAGATTTATAATCCTACATGGCGCGTTGTAGTATATAAATGAACATTGTAGTATATATTATTTATCTATTAATATGGTAATGACTAGATGAAGCCCGTGCGATGCACGGTTTGTTTGATTTTTTTTAAATTATGTTTTTTTTGTATTTATGAGCCTAAAATTTGTTATATATTTAGATAAAATTTCTAATATTAAAAGATAATATATAATATTTAATTAATTTAAACTTAAAAATCTCATTCGCCAATTTTTGCTTACATGGCATTTAAATTATTTAATTCTAAAAGAAATTAATAATCTTTATTTAACTGGCTACTATTAAGATTTATAATCCTACATGGCGCGCTGAGAAATATTTAGATAAAATTCCTAATATTAAAAGATAATATATAATATTTAATTAATTTAAACTTAAAAATCTCATTCGCCAATTTTTGCTTATATGGCATTTAAATTATTTAATTCTAAAAGAAATTAATAATCTTTATTTAATTGGCTACTATTAAGATTTATAATCCTACATGGCGCGCTGAGAAAATTAGATCCTACGTGGCTCTCTAAAAACTCGGGAAAAAACTCCCCTTTATATATATAATAATATTAGATTGTATTTTCATATGTCAAAATCAAAATAAAATGGCAGAAATTATATTTTGTCAATTCCCATCATCTTGAACAATAATAAATCCATTAATCCAACTGCAATCTTAAATTGATTAATAAGATGCGTAAATTGTTGACAAAGTTTAGTCCCAACCAATTGTAGCTTGTCTAGTTGTTCTTGGTCTTACGTTGGTCACAATCAAAGCAACTCAATGACGCTCCTGTCAATTTCATTGTACATTTGTACTCGTAACATTTGATCACTAAACCCTTTTTCTATAAAAGTTGCCTGTAAGGATATGTCAAAGATATGAACCAATCATGGTACGATAATCACAATCACGAGTCATAGATAAAACTTAATTATGGTAGAGTGGGAACGCAATACTCGTAGCTAGCATAGTAATGTGGTCAACATAAGCATAACGGATTAATGGAGCGAGTACCAGTACGTATTATATGTAAATGCGTGCGTTACAGAATTGTAACTTTATAAGGATATAGCATATAGATCGAGCAAGTGAATAGTCGAATAGATATAGACTCGGTAGTATCATAAAATCGTGTTTCATCGTCCACGTAAGACCATGTATATGTAGTTAATTACAAGTATTAGGGCATGTTCACATTTACTGAATTGAGCTGAACTGAACTGAACTGATTGGAGCTGAACTGAACTGAATTGATTGGAGCTGAACTGAGCTAAACTGAATTGAACTGATTAGATCGAGCTGAACTGAACTGAATTGAGCTGAATGAATATTTTATGAGAGAGGGAAATTAGGAACTGATTGGAGCTGAACTTAACTGAATTGATTAGAGCTGAACTGAACTGAAATTAAGTAAATGTGAACAGACCCTTAGTTAGGTATTAGTAACAATTAAATATAACTATATAAGTAATGTTTAAATAATTTTTTCATTTTTAAGGACCATTATTATTACCTCAACGAGTTGGTGTGCAACTCCACATAATTAATTTAATTATCCAATACCTTTATACATTGCTTGATTATGATTCAAAGGGTACTATACATACTATAATATGGTAACTACCAAGAATTAATGCAGCTAACCACAATTGAAACAAATTGTTTGAAAAGATACATGTATAGTAATGCTTCTCAATGACAAGCTAAGCTTTGTGGCACACAAAGTGACAAAGGATTACAAACTACTACAAATCTACAATAATAACTCTACAAAGTCAAGAAATTTGGCATTCAATAATAGACATTAACCTATCTAACAATAGAGTGTCGCAAATATAAATACGTTAAAGTAGGGATTAACGTCACAAGAAATGAGAAAATATAGGTTTTGATGGGAATTATACAATACCTTTTTTTTCTTTTTTTTTTTTGAAATGAAATTGATTTATAAATAAAAGTTACATGATAATTAAATCAAATAATATTTCATCAGCAAAGCTACAATTTCTTAGACTTAGGCCTTGTTCTTTTGAGCTTCTGGGCAGAGCAGAGCAGATTTCAGCAAAGTAGAGCCGAGCAGAGCAGATTTCATTATTATTATTATTATTAGAATTTATTTATTTATTTATTATTATTATTAAATATTAATTATTATTATTATTATTATTATTAATATTATTATTATTATTATTATTACTACTACTACTACTAGTAGTACTACTACTACTAATATTATCTCATTATTATTATAATCATTAAATTTTTAAAGTTAAACATTAACTATTATTATTATATTAATTATAATTATAATTATTATTATTAAATATTATTTAATTATTATTATTATTAAAAATTAATAATTAGTATTATCTTTAAATATTAGTTATTATCTTAATATTAATTGTTATTATAAAAATCAATTATTGTTATTATAATTAATATTATTAGTTATAAGTATTATTATTACTATTAGTATAATTACTATTATTATTACTATTATTATTATTATTAATTATTAATTATTATTATCATTATTAATTAATAATAATTTATTATTATTATTAATAAATATTAATAATAATAATTATTATTATTATTTTAATTAAATATAAATCATTAATTATTGTTATTAATATTATTAAGTATTAATTATTATTATTAAATATTAATTATTTATTATTATTCTTATTAAATATGAATTATTATTATTAAATCTGAATTATTTATTATTATTATTAATTATTAATTATTATTATAA